GATAAAACCCATGTGAACTTTTTACACAATATTTCATGTGAAGTGGACACTCGCGACCCTAGTAAGAAAAACCATTTCAAATCGTTGGATCTTTAGAAAAAAGAAAATACTGGCGGTTCTGTTGCATTGTTTAAGGCTCACCTTGCTGCGTGGTGTTTTTCACAGAAACATAGTGTGAAAATATATATTTAAATAGAAGCATTCTATGGTGTCAAAATGTTTTCTACATTTACTAAATATTTATTTGAAAAATTCGCTCAATGTTCACTTACTTGTGCAGTGACCTTAAGAAAAATTTATACCGCATTCGATAAGTGAACTCTTTCTAATATTTTCACTCCACAACTAACTTCAGTGGATTCCTATATTAAATAACTTTATGCTGTTAACTTGAAGTGTGAGTGGATCGACCATACTAGCCGAAATGCATCACATAAAAATATAGAGTACCATCAATTCCCTCGCTCCTAACCAAAACAATGCTTTTCTACCCAACAGAATAAAGAATATTAAGACGTGAGAAAAAGAGAGTAGTTCTCGCCTTTTCTATCTACCTGCCTTAATTGGACGCATAGTTACACCTCTACCGGTGGTGGGATAGCAAGTATGCTTTTTTATGTCTATTAGGCATTCCAAACTGAATGGCTACCAGTGGGTTTTGACAGGTTATGATATGGCAAAATTATGGCAACCCTGTAGGCCTGGTGATTTGACAAGGACAATGAAATAGATATTTACATTGATTGATCATCCATATTTTTCAAAATAAACATAAGCTTATGCCTTGATGTAAAAATGTAAGCAGTTATTATTTTTTAAATATCTAAAGGCTGACAATTGGTTTTAAAACACATTTTTGCTAAACCGATTCAAATTAATAAATATTTGTCAGGCAATATGGCCGCACGCAAACGACCAGCTTTGAGCAATCTATATAACTATATATGTATCATTGACCATATTAATGTCAACATGACAACAGGGTTGCCATATCTAAACTGTCATTACCCACTGGTAGCCATTTGGACAGGTCGTTGGAATACCTAATTAGGCATTCCAACGAACTGTCAAACTGCTGATAAGTGGGACCTGACATTTAGATACAGTAACCCTGTGAGCCTGTTGTCATTGACAAGGTCAGTGATACATATGTAGTTATATAGATTGCTCAAAGCGGGTCGTTTACGAGCGGCCATATTGCCTCGCAAGTGCTCATTAACCAGAATCGATTTCGCAAAAATGTGTTTACAAACCAATATTTGCCTCTGAGTATAGTAAAAAAATAATAATTACCTAAATTTTTACTTCAAGGCATAAGCTTATGTTAATTTTAAAAAATATGGATGATCAATCTATGTAACTATCTATGTCATTGATCTTGTCAAATCACCAGGCCTACAGGGTTGCCATAATTTTGCCATATCATAACCTGTCAAAACCCACTGGTAGCCATTTTGTTTGGAATGCCTAATTCAATAGCTATGTCAATTGTGAATACCATTAGTGTTCTATACCGTTCTCTGGAGAGATGTTTGAAAAGTTAATATATTGTATGTTATCCAAATGGCTACCAGTGAGGACTGACCACTGATCTGTATTATTTTACTGGATAGGATATAGGCTATATTTAACATACTAATAAACCGTTCCACCAAGGAGACCGGAAGTGCAACAATGCTGGCCGATTTGGGCAAATTATGGTGGGTTCACAGAACTGAAATTTGGGATAATTTGACATACCTAACCTATAATTTGATTAGTTTTTCTTCTTATTCTTCTTCTATTCCTTTTGCGGGCGATGTCCTTCGGAAAAATTCACCTATGATTTAATTTATTATGAAAGAAAATATAAAAATGGAAACGTGAAGCATATTGTGTCTCCAGGAATGAACGTTTATTATTTATTTCATACTCTTTTTACTTTGTTTTCCACAATAAAAACATCTCATCGTAGCTTGTTGATACAATTAAATGACAAATGTGATGACAAATGGAAATAGAGGTTACGTTAAATAACATCCGGTCCGCCATATTATTTGCCCAAATCGGCCAATTTTTCGGAACGTTTTTTGTAAAATAATACAGATAAGTGGGACTGACACTTTAGATATGGCAACCCTGTTGTCATGTTGTCATTTACAGGGTTATATAGATTTCTCAAAGCTGGTTATTTGTGAGCGGCCATATTGCTTGGCAAATATTTATTAATTTGAATCGGTTTAGCAAAAATGTGTTTTAAAACCGAGCTGCTGCCTTTCGATATTTAAAAAAAATAATTGCTTACATTTTTACTTCAAGGCATATGCTTATATTTATTTTCAAAACCATGGATTATCAATCTACATCACTGTCTATAGCATTTATCCTATCAAACCACCAGACTCACAGTGTTGCCATATTATAACATGTCATGTGTCTGTCAGTGTCCTGTCATTTCAAACGGTCAGCCATTTTGTTTGGAATGCCTTGGACCCACATACTTTTACTTTACTTTTACTATACGGAGAATGGTCGCACTGCGCAGCTTTCTGAGTGCCTTGGACACATACTTTGATTACTATACGGGGCAAGAGAGAGGTCCGACATGCCCAACATAGGGCGCGGCCATTTTGAACCCTATGACACAGTTTATAGCTAAAGAATCAGATCGCTCACTCTGCGTCGGCACTTTTTATCTCAATGTTCCAGTTTATACACTGCGCAACTCAGATAATACAATATATGACAACCGCCTATAATAAAACAGCAGTCTTCTGCGTATCCTGAATTTGTATCCCTGGAGTGGATGTTATTTTGAAACTTTCAACTGGTCCGAGTGAGCTAACTGATTCTTTAGCAATAAACTGTGACTCCAAAAATAATATTCACTGACACTGACAGCAGCAAGCAAAATATCAGGTGCGTTTTAATCATCCGCTTCTGCTTCCAGAATTGTCGGTTCAGTCGTTCTAACCTGTCAAATTAAAACAAGAAAACCGACAATTCCGAAGCAGAAGCGGATGATTAAAACGCACCTATTGAAAATATTGCGCCAAGATGTAGGCAACACGTAATAAGGGTTCAAAATGGCGGGGAACTTTCTATCTCCTTTTAAAAGGCACCCAATAAGCTGCGCAGTGCGACCATTCTTCGTATAGTAAAAGAGAATCAAAGTATGTGCTTTTGGACCACAGCTGACAGTTGCGTTAATTTTGTGACAGATTGACATTCGATTTAATGGAAACCGTAAAAAATATACCGGAGTGAATTGACATTTTATAAACCATTTTCAGGTAACCGCGTTCCTAATTTAAGCGATTTTCAGCAGACCGGTTAGTTTTGGACCGAGTAACCGATATTTCGGTTAATAACGGACCATATCCTTACTTTTTAGTTATTAAATTATTGTTTGGTTGTTATTAGAGAGTTATTGAAAGTTCACTTAAGGTCAGTCACTATTAGTGCCGCTCTTACTTTGACATCTGAGCATGCGTAGATCACTAACTTTAATAAAGATTGTGCCTGTCCTTAATAAGAGAGTTATTGCAAGTTCACTTAGGGTCAGTAACTGTTAGTGCCGCTTTTATTTTGACATCTAAGCATGCGCAGATGTTTATGTTCTAAAACTGACTTTATTAAGGATTGTGCCTGTCCTTAATTCTGGATGTTTAAGGGCAGCAGGTAGTGGCGACTTTATACCTTTCGGATGCGCTCGTCATTTAAACCCTCTAAAATTATAATTTCTAATGCCTCTTTAATATTAGGTACTATTATAGAATTTATTTGACTCTAATTAGGATGTCACTATTAGTGGCTGGCTTTATAGAAATTTGCAATATCTCTCTATTAAGGACAGGCACAATCTTTATTAAATTTAGTGATCTGCGCATGCTCAGATGTCAAAATAAGAGCGGCACTAATAGTGACTGACCTTAAGTGAACTTGCAATAACTCTCTAATATAGTCTTCATAGCTGTTATTTTTAAAATCGAAACAAGCGCTGAGTATAGGGTTGCCATATTTACGCAAGGGAAAAGTGGGACAACGATGACGACAAAGATCGGGTTTAAAAAACAGGTATTTTCATCAAATAGGATCCTTTCTTTATGGAGATCTAAAAACACTCCTCTGCTTATATTTTTATAAACTACCAGGTCCTTTTTCTGAGGAGATTCCCAAAAACAGGTCAAAAATTTCTTTATGTATAACTTTGGATTAAAAAAACGTAGCATTTAGTTAAAATGTGGGACATTTTGATACTTTGGCGTAACGCGTGCCAACAATTTCGCCTAAAGCGAGCCGTCTGGCAACCCTAGCTGAGTACCTAGATGTGGACGCAATTAAAGGTTTTTGTAAATGAAAGGCCAATTAATTTTTGAAGATAGCCAAGATTTATTGATGAACATGGCAAAATTTCAGTGGCCACAGAAACTACAACACCAATTAGCAACTACAGCACCAATTTTCTCTTCATCCGTGATTACTATGAAGACTAGAGATAAGGAGGCGAATCGGCATACTCAAAATACGGTCTCAAAAATCGCACGCTAATTGAGCTTTTATAATTAACCGCATGGGGGCTAGTACTGCATTCAAAATACATGGCTTCTTATGGGAATTATACATAATTTTGTCAAAATAATAAAAATAAACTTGTTTATAGCTAAATAAAGCACATAACATACTGTTGTATTTATTTATAAATAAGTCTTGCATGTCTTGTGCTTTTCTCGCGCATGAATAATCCGATGTCAACATTAACAATTCAAATTTATCTCCTTTGCTCGAAGGATTACAGTCAACTAAAAGTTCGTACTGTCAACTCAATTTCAAAATAAACGTGCAGAAATAAACCAATAAGAATGTGTGATTTCTAATTGAGATAATGCCGTCATTGGTGGATTTGTGGTGGATTTTTAAAACTATTTGCGAACAAAGGGGTATTCATTTGTCCAGATCTCCAAAGAAACCGATAAAAAATGAATTCTGTTTGGATCAACAAAATCGTCATTCCGTGACAGTCACTCATCAAGTACACATCATCAAAACTTTTCGGCCCCACAAGTTATCAAAATTCTAGTATTCCATAGAAGCAAAACCTAAAAACCAAATCATTAACTCAAAATTTAAGTGATTCTCTACGAAAAAATTGAAATAGTCCAAAATGAGCAAACAAGCGTGCGTTAAGAATGCCGATATGAGCGATGAGATGCAAAAGGATGCTCTGAACTGTGGCATACAAGCAATAGAGCTGTATCAAGTTGAAAAGGACATCGCAGCTTATATCAAAAAAGAATTCGATAAGAGGTACCAACCAACATGGCACTGTGTTGTCGGTAAGAACTTCGGCTCATACGTAACACATGAAACAAGAAATTTCATCTACTTCTACGTTGGTCAGACGGCCATTTTACTCTACAAGAGTGGTTGAAACCCGTCACATGTGCGTTTGCCGTTTTGTCACATCCAGGATATCATAATTCAAGATAGACAAGAAATGTCTACAAAGCAAGTGATGTTAAGAAGATTTAGAGATTTATTACTATTGAAATAGTAAGTGTCATAAAATTTGTAAATTTGGTTACCTCACATTTTAATACAGATTTTTCTTATGTAAATTAAGTAAAAATGAAGTGTATCTATTTAACGGTGTAGTGCCTATAAAATTGTTTTAAAATGTGAAGATAGTTTCCAATTTGAATGAAAATTGATAAATGCTTTGATATGACTTCTTGTTAGTCCATTTCATTTTTGTACCTCTGTAATTGATAACAATGTACTTTGAAATAAATTTTTTCTGAATAAATAAGTGTTTAATTAAAAAAATAGGTACGAAATTAGGAAAAGGATCTAAGTATATATTGCCAGTAGTTCGGAGGTGTAGTTGCTACAATTGTGGCTGTAAAAATAAAAAGTGTGGTCCGGGAGCCCTGGGGCTCCGCAAAGCCTTTGTAAGGGCTTGCCGAAGAAAATAAATAGCAGTACTATCGCCAAAAAAGTTTGAGAAAGAATGGTTATAGTAATTCTAAAAATTACATCTTTTACATCTTTGACAAGACATCCAAAAAATAGCTTTACAATACTATGGTGTCAGTTCTACTCGTAATACCACTACGAAATAATATATAGAAAATTATTTGTTATTTATATCCAATATATACATAGAATTTATATTTCCGTCTCATTTTCCCCTCAAAATTTCTACCACCTCTAGAATAGATACACAGATATTTGTGAAAAAACCTTTTTCTGAAAATAAATCTAAAATCATCAAATTAAGGCTCACTTAACACCAAAGATTCTGGAAGCTCTTGATCCCTTGATGACCGGGCACCCAAAGTTTTACTCTTAGAGCATCTAAGATTTTACTCTATTTCAGTCTTAGACAAGGAAATAAACTAGTCTGATTAAGATTTCAGTCTGCCATACCATTTTTAGATCTTTGCTGCAATCTCCTCCAGCTCTAGTACCCCATAGATATATCAAGTAAGTGTGTAGCCAAAGGCGTTAAATGAACGGCAACATTTATTCTTGATGAATACAATTATTAAAAGTAATTTTAAAAAAAACAACTTTAAAATCATGCACATGCCGTCACCACATTTCGACCAATTTTATATGGAGCCCCTTTGAGGTACCCCGTTACTAAAAAAAAGACTTACAGAAATTGGACAAGAGGATTTTCTTATGGACCCAATTAATAGATTTTGACCAAATTTATATTGGACCACCCACCCCTAAATTACCCCCTTTCTAACAAAAAAAGAATCATTGAAATCGGACACCGTGTTAAAGGATTATCGCTGAACATACATACAAAAAATATAAAGGAGAAGGTACAAATATGGGCTACCATTTGGTTTAATTGACATATCTGACACATTTTTAGTGTAATTTACGTTTTTTCTTTTTACAAGTGAACTAGAACCTTTTATTAACATTATGCGGTCCGTTTTTGTTCTTTTTGGGAAAGCTTTTCTAAAATTTTATTTTGTTCAAAAAACAGTGACAATAGCAGTCATTTTTAAAGTGATACAAATATGGACTACTACAGAAAATACCTACAAATATTAACTTAAACGTTTTATTCAAAGGCTAAATTGAAAAAAAAACAGGAGCAATTACAAAAGTAACACACTACTAATCAGTGCGACAAAAGTCACAAACATAGTCATCTCTGTCAGCGCCGGCACAGTCCACATGGCACCATAAACTGCACATTAAACACTGAACCCAGAGTTCACCTTTGCGGTCTTCAGAAAATCTACTTTCGCAGAATATGCATCTAAATCATCTGGTTTCTTTTATCCAGGCATATCATCTACATCTAAATCGTCATCCACTGACGTAAACTGTGTTTCGTCATCTTCACTCTTCTATCGACTGCTGCTTTTTATTCTTCTTTGATGCTTTGGACATAGAGATCTTTTCCTCTGATTGAGAAAATACTTTTTTTTAACCTGTTTAACATTTTGCTTATTTTTATTGGTAGTACTCAACAATAATTCACCTTTATAAGGGGAGGAAGTAATTACCGCTGCTTGCGAAGCTGTCCTACCCCTATTAGTTGTTTTTTTTTTAGATATCGGAACTGGCGAAATATCAAAGAGTGACAACATTTTTCTTGGCATTCCAGATAGTCCAGGTTGAGCGTTGTCCTAATTGGGTGTCTCTATATTCGATTGAGATGTGCTCGGTGTGGTCATTCTTTCAGAAGCCGAATCGGACATAACATTTGTGGTAACACTCAATTCACTTTCAGCGGTGCAGTGTTCTTTTTTTGCTTATATTTCCGCAGCAAGAAAGTCCGCTTTTGAAAAAATATTTTTATTTAACGGAAAAATTCCAGTAGCGCGGAATCCATTTACTGCAATTTCTCCAGTCTGCGTTTTGAGATAGGCCTTTCCAAAAAGTTTGCCAATGTCATATTGAGATAAGGGACGATGATTGTGGCGAATCCATTGTCTAATCTCCTCACTGTAGTAAGCCTTTAACGCACCCATGAAAGTTTTGTCAAGAGGCTGTAGTTTATGGGTGGAATGAGGGGATAATGAGATTATTACCACGTGATTTTCTCTAGCCGTATTGACAACTTTTAGGTTACGCGTAAAACTATAATGCCCATCTAAAATTAGAAGAACTGGCGAAGTTGCAGACGGTTTTACAGTGTCAATGAAATGTCTGAACCACTGGGCGAATGACGTAGCCTGAACCCATCCACTAAGGTGAACTGCTGATATTGATCCTGGAGGGGTGCCTTTCATTAGTTGAATATTCATATATTTTCTAGGAAATATGAGCATCGGTGGTACAAAGTTTCTCTAGGCACTCATGCAAATTATCAAAGTGATTAAAAAACCCCGCTCCAATGAAGTTAAAGAGGCAATTTGACTTTTTCCCTTACGACCGACTACTTCAGCGACCTTATTTTGCACAACAGTCAGACCGTTCTCATCCACATTATACACGCGATTAGCTGGGAATTTGTGTTTTTCATACGCTTCCTGCAAAAGCGTAAAAAAGTTGTCAAAACTTTCTTTGTTAAACCCTTTGGCGCGAGCGAAAGATGTCTCAGTGGGTTTTCTAACTAACAAGGTATTTTCATGCCTTTGCAAAAATAGATCTAACCAGCCCCTTCCTGCTGCTTGTGTGTTTCCAAAAGGATGCTTTATTCCATTTCTTTCTGCCAAGCAAAATGCCATACGTTTAATATATTTGCGGGTTAAGCCATAAAACTTGGCTTCCATTTTAAGGATATAGCGAACTAATGTTTCTTCCAATTCTGGATTTAAAACTGTACCTCGACCAAGTTTAATTTGAACAATCTGTTCTACGCTAAGATGGTCCATTTTGGCTAATCGCTGCACTGTAGTCCTTGGAACGCCAAAAGATTTTGTTGCTTTTAGAGTACCCATTCTTGTTTCTCTTATTGCTTGAACAGCCCTTTTCATATCCTCTGTATCCCACGTCTTTCTTTTCTTGGCGCTTAAATCGGAAGTTACCATAAGTTTCTTGCGAGGCATTCTAAAATAAAACACTCAATGAAATAGAGATTGATACAAATATGGGCTAGTCCATATTGCTAATAAGCGCAATTAAATTGATAATTTTACAAATATTTTATATATTTAATCTATGTAAATTGAAAAACAAAAACTAAAAATACAAACCTTGTGCTCAAGTCTGATCGTTAAAAATCGACTTTGACATCAAAAACAATTGAGTTACAGCCACAAATAAGCACCACTGCAAAATTTATAAACACTGTAAAATACCAATTCACATTAAAACCACCTCTGCGAAAAGAAGAAACCCGTAATCACTAAGCGCAGAGATAAGGGAGATAAAGATAGGAAACGCCCATAAGAAGCCAATGCTTAACAACGACCAGCTTTATGGCAGTTAACATCTGACCCACTATGTGGCGCTTTCATCGAAATCAAACAACGCAGCGGGAAATTTAAGAACCTAATAATAACGATTGCATAAATATCGACTGCAGTCTCATGTTCTTGTAAATAATCTTAAACAATGTAATTACGCTAAATTATTTATTAAAAAGAATACTACACTTATACTCGAAAAATATTTTTTAATTTTTGATTGTTATTTGTAACACTGCATTTTTGTTTTTATTTTGGTATTTTATTTAAAAATGTTGAGTGCAAATTCAATAATGGGAATTCAGATATTTTTCTTCCTATATCAAATCTTCTTTCTAACGTTTTGAAGCCATTTTCTTGTTCTAAAACAATAAATAATACATAAACACCTACTTTGTGACAAAAGTTCATTACTATTTGTGTTACTTACATGAATAGATCTTACCTATTTTGGTTAATTAAAGAACGCCACATTGGGGTTGTTAGATTTGTTCATGTGGCATGTGTTACTAATGCAATACGTTCTCCGACTTATTGTAATTATACAAAATATAATTATTGTCCTTAAATTTCACACAGAAACAGCCACAACTATTTCGCTTAGTTCATCTAGAGGATAACACAATCATGAACTCAAAATTTAAATTCAGGATTCAGGATTCTTCGATATACATAAAACTGACATTTATATTTACAAACTGTCCAGCTGTCCACGTCTACTATCTGTCTCAGTGTTGCCAACCGTACGATTTAAATCGTATTTATACGATTTTTTAACTCTCTGTACTATGTACGATTGTATCAGTGAGATCGTACGTAAAAATATGATCTTCACTTTTTTAGTCGGTTTATTTAAATATCTGCAACAACTTTAGAATATAAAACAATAAAAATCAAAAACTACTTGCAAAGATTCATAGGCCGTTCGTAATTTCTGAAAGCAGTCATTTTTGTTCTGACTTATCGTGATTTTGACCACGGTGATTTTGTACACCGACTATCACGGCATAACACATACTTTGATTACTATACGAGGCAAGAGAGAGGTCCGACACGCCCAACATAGGACGCGGCCATTTTGAACCCTGTGACCAGCGTAGCCAGCAATAGAAAAATAAAAGTACTGCAGTGATACTGAAAACGGT